GGCAAGATTTGTTCATAGGAAGTTTGCCGTTGTCTTCCCATAAGGCTGAGAGCATGTGACCTGTCAAAGGTCATCCAGTGGGTTTCCATGGCTGATCAGAGATTTGAACCTTGGTCTCCAGAGTCGTAGTCCAATGCTCAACCACTACACCACACTGACTCTCCCATCACACTAAAAGGTAAAAGTTTCCTTTGACAAGATTATTTAGTTGTGACTGACTCGAAGGGCTGGTGCTCATCTCTGCTACTAAGCTGAGGAGACAATGTTGTCAAAGATGATTCCGTGTTCAAGTGGCCAGCATAACTGCACAGAATGCTGCTACCTTTCCATCAAAGTGGTACCTATTTATCTACTTACACATTTACATGCTTTCGAACTGCTAGGTTGACAGGAGCTGAGACTAGTGATGGAAGCTCACTCCGTCATGTAGTGCTTGGCCATTGAGCTACTGACTTCGCAAACTTGCAGCCACCAGAGTCAGTGTCTTAACCGCTGAGCCACCTATGATTTATTAATTTGAAATTACAGCTGATTTGTAAAAAGAAGGGTTTTTATTCCTTTATCCTGTGTATATTATGCTTTAGAGTGTTTTTAAGTATGGTGTTCAACACACAATTCAAGACAAATTCCAATAATGAAGTGGCATGTGATTACACCAGAGAACTGACTTGTAGCTACCAAAGGTAGTTCTATCCATCACGTTGCCTAAAAATGACATGATTAGTAACTTTGGTTGCTAAGCATGTAAGCATGGTGTTTCAGGAATCATTTTTTAAAATATAAATTCCTTTTTAAAAAAGAATTGTGCATTATTTATGTAGTGAATAAAAAATATAACATCACATCTATGCTTCTTATGTGAGAAGCTAAGAGGAAAATCTCTTCATGTGTTTGTACAAGAGCATCTATGCCATAAGAATGGAACATATTTATTTACCTTATTTACTAAGACACGGAGGGCCTTTGCAGACTGCCAGAGATAGTGCACATTAAATTGAGGCACTGCCCTGGCTCAGTGCTAGGGAATCATGGGAACTGTAATTTATTGTGGCACCAGAGCTCTCTGACAGAGAAGGCTCAATGTCTCAGAAAAAAATACAATTCCCATGACTCCTTGGCACTGACAGGGCAGTGCCTCAATTTAATGTGCACTATTTCTGGCAGTCTGCAAGTCTGCTTAGATACCACTTTTTATTCCAAAAAACCAAAAACAGTTTACAGTTTGGCAGTATTAAAAACCACAAAATACAATAAAGTCAAGTTTTTAAAAATCGCTCAGTCTTTAAGCATTACAATTTTGCTTTGAATTCAATAGAGGGTAATTGTGACTAGGGCTGGTACTCTACTGGGACACTATGCTTGTGTAAAAATCATTGTGTAATCAGCTACACTTTCTCAGATGGTGCATAAGTGTGGCCCCCAGTACAGCCCCTTGATTTGTAACACATACACATACCTGTCCCTCACCTTTGGCTAGATAGTGGGATGCTAACTGATTATTGTACAAGGTGCATTCAAGGCCGTGGCACCTATTGAATAGTCAGTTGTGCATGTGTGGAATCCAGTTTAATTATGCTGGTGTGTATTTATTTGTACTGTGATAAAGGTTATAGGCCTAAAGTAATGAATGGGAAAATACTGGGTAAACAAACAAGTCTTCAATTAATAGGAAAAAGGTTTCAACTGATAGCATTGGGAACCATTTCATCTCTATGTTGGTAGAATTCAAAGATATAGCCATGTTAGTCTCTAGAATGAGTATGTTGAGAGATCTTGTAGCACCTTTGAGACTAACAGAATCATAGAATCATAGAGTTGGAAGAGACCACAAGGGCCATCCAGTCCAACCCCCCTGCCATGCAGGAACTCCCAATCAAAGCATCCCCAACAGATGGCCATCCAGCCTCTGCTTAAAGACCTCCAAGGAAGGAGACTCCACCACACTCCAAGGGAGTGTGTTCCACTGTTGAACAGCCCTTACTGAAAGAGGCTGGCAGCATGAATTTTCCTAGACTTAAATCTACTTCCTCAGATGCATCTGGAAGTAGACCTAAGTCTATGAAAGCTCATGCTGCCAACTTTCTTTCAGTTAGTGTCAAAGATGCTACAAGATTGCTCTACATATGATTTTTATGGTGATCATTCTACATGATGGGCACCAAAGAGGAGATTACCCTCTTCCATACCTCAACCAAGCCACCTAAACAAGGGCATCTGAGGGCAGTGAAGAAAATTTGGGGGGAGGGATCATGTTGGGAGGTTGATGGCTGCAAAATCAGCTTTTTGGGGGGTTGAGGGAGCATTATTTTCCTATTACTGCTATAGAACCTTCCTGCCCAGGCAGCATTATATGAGGGAGACTATTCAGACTGGAAAGACCTATCTGGTCTTCCCTAGCCATATGTTTGCAATATTGACACACATACATGTAGTTATCGATGATGAAGATGCAAAGGAACCTTGCACTCTGAAAAAAAGGAAAATCAGCTAAAGAGTATAAATGAAGATAGTACGTAGATTTCTTAAAGCTACATATGGCAAAACAATGTGCCTCAGTAAAGGATATTCTCCGACATGCAATAAGATGGCTATCTCCAAAGCTTGAAATTAGGACATATTCACACAACATTTGGACACTGTGGCCTGTTTTTAGGAGGCAAGTGTGTCTGGAAAATGCAGGAAGCAGCCATGAAGTCTGGGGTCCTTTACAATTGTTCAAAGGACAAAGTTGGAGGGGCAGGGATCTTGAAAAAGGAACATCTGTTGATGACTGGTGCTGGATCAGAAAGCCAATGAGCTTTCCAAAGCCAATGGAGACAGAAGAGATATCAAAGGATATTCAATCATTGTGCGGAGACTATAATGCCACTATTCTATTCTTTAAAAGCTTTCACAGTGGTATCTTCTGTTTTAAATCTATAATACTACAGATAACACTAATTGAACAAACATGTCTACAAACTATAGACCACTACACTTTAATGATAAAATACAGTGGGAAGTATTTTCTTCCTTAATTAAGGAATGTTCAGTTTATTATAAGCAAGTGAATTGCATGTTAAATTCATTCAGTTTTGTCATATAGAGCACAACATGGCTGGTTAATTTGTGGTTGTCAAGTATAGATCTCAAGTTTAATAAAGTCAGAAGAAAGAGGGATTCTATCTCAGACCTGTTCATTTTCTGGGGACCAGTGGCTGGGACCCAGCCTTTTAAGGAAATTACATGTTCTGAATGAAGACAGTGAAATAAATTTTAAAGAAAGTTATTTTCCTGCTTGTCTGATCTCATACAGTATGTACCAGCCAATTAGGAGTATCTTGTAATACACTTGCTGTTTGTCAATAAATCGGCTTCAGTTTAAGGCAACCTTTTGAATGAGACACCTACAACACTGCAGAAATATTCCAGTTTGACACTACTTTAATTGCCATGGCTCAATGCTATAGAATTCTGGGATTTGTAGTTTTATGAGACATTTAGCCTTCTTTGTTAAAAAGCTCTGATGCCACAACAAGCTACAATTCCCAGAATTCCATAGCATTGATCCATGGCAGTTAAAGTTGTGTCAAACTGGAATATTTCTGCAGTGTAGATGCTGCTTCAGTCAACAAAAGGCCTGCTCAAGTCTTGCAAGCCTAGGGCTGTAGCTTCCTCGACTAAGTCGATCCACCTTCAGTGTAGTCTTCCTGTTTTCCTATTGCCTTCTATTTTAAACAACATTATCATCTTTCCCGGTGATACAAGTTGTCTCATGATGTGATCAAACTATGATAGCCTCAGTTTAGTTATCTTGGGTTCTAGCGAGAATCCTGAATTCATTTGCTCTCATTTGGAGGTCCATGGTATTTACAGAACTCTCCTTCAGCACCACACTTCAGTTGTGTTGAGCTTCCTCCTGTTCCCTTTCTTCATGGTTCAGCTTTCACAAGCATATCTAGAAATTGAAAATACTACAGCATGTATAATATGGCTTATTTCTTCCCCAATCCTCTATTTCACTGTCTACTTGGCAAGTGACATAGTTGCTCCTGTTGAACACTGGCAATGGGCTAGTGTCCTCCACCACAGCTGGAGACAACAGACATTTAGGGCAGAGTTTAGAAAAATAATATTTTGAGGCCTTTAGCTCACAGAATTCCTCCACCTAGTATGGCCACTGGTCATAATAGTCAGAGGATTCTTAGTGCTAAGTCCAAAAAAGTACTATTTCTAAACTCTGGTACAGTCAGCCCTCCATATCCATGGATTCTGCATCCATAGATTCAACTTTCCACAGATTGAAAATATGGTATCTGTAAAAAAAAAAAAAAAAATCCCAAAAGTAACCCTCGAAATTTTATGTAAGGGACACCATTTTACTATGCCATTGCATATAATGGGACTTGAGCATCCACAGATTTTAGTATCCACTGAGTGGAGGGTGGAACCAAACCCCAGCAGATACCAAGGGCCCACTGTATAGATGGTGGAGAGATGGTTCTCTTCCAATATCTTTCTGCTGCCTCTCAGAATCTGCTCATAGTCTCTTGTCTTGTTCCTTCTCTGCCTTTGCATGAAATGTGCAAGACTTTGCGTTTGCAGTTGGTCTGGCGCAGGTGGAATACTGAAATGAAACAGCTTCAGTCCCTTCAAAGCAGAAATTGCAAAGCCCAGTCCAGTTCAAGGCTGTTGGATCCATCACTGTGAGGATGGATATTTCTCCTGTAGCTACTCAGAGGGGTATGGGAGTTGTGCTAAACTTCTGGTGGGAGAGTCCCACATAAGGAAAGCTCCCAAAAAAACTGGAGCAGTTGTGGAAGAGGGTGGATCCATCACTCCCATAGCAATAGATCCACCAGTAAGCCTTGTTTAAGGTAAGCATGAATATTTATTTATTTGTTATTTAATAACTGAGACTCAAAGAGGCTTAATGGATAAATTACTTCTTGCCAACACAAAGGCACTTAGGAATAATTCTTACCCAATCTGCACATTCCTTGACTGGCGATAGAGTTGGACACTGTGTGGTGTAGTGGTTTGAGCATTGGACTCTGACTCTGAAGACCAGGGTTCAAATCCTGTCTCAGCCATGTAAACCCACTGGGTGACCTTAGGCAAGTCACATGTTCTCAGCCTCAGAGGATGGCAATGGCATACCCCTTCTGAAGAAGAAACCCCCATAATAGGTTCACATTAGGGTCTCCATAAGTTGGAAAAGACTTGAAGGCACAAAGCAACAACAACAAAGTGTCTACTCGTGAAGGATTTGAACCTTATAATGCAATTCATCAAGGAAAAACCAAAGTCAAAATGAGCACATTTGCCGGCCATAGTTTTATTCCTATCACAGTTGGAAGTACTGCTTGAAACCATCTGCTGGGATGTTTGCACCTTTCCAATGCATGTGTCAGAGAAGAAATTGAAGTTATGGATCCTTTTTCCAAGACAGGGACACATGGCTGAATTTCATCTTGCTGATCTAATCTCTAAGGATTCAGACAGAGCACCCGCTTCCTCCCCTCCAGGAGGAAAGCATTAAAGAGAAAAAGCTGCTCTCTTCAGGGTGCAATTAATGAGGGCTGTTATTCTGAAGAGGAAGAGATTAAATTTCCTATAGATAGGCAGTATGGATCAGTTTACCTTCTTGATCATGGACTTTGGAACTTATTCAAGCTGATGCCTAGTGCTATATTACTTCCCCTTAAAAATCAACTCCCAACAATAACAGAACTGTGTTTATAAGAAGGTTTTTTTGAGGGTTATCTCTAAGCATGTGCGTTATCATGCTTTCCTGTTTATTATATTTCAAGGAAGTAGCTATTTTTCTCCTCCTCCCCCTTCCTATAAGCATTCATGCCCTGCAGACTTTTCAAATACAAATTAATTAAAACATTGTTCATCTCCCCCAAACACACACACTTTTAGGAAATGGGTGGTATTGCACTATAGTGGTTAGAACTGCCAGTTGTCAGGGCTGGTTCCGGATGCGCCAACTATGTGGATACCATGTCCCTCCTCTCTCATCTTCCCAGTAAGACACCAGCTGGAGCACCTTCAGACACCATTGTGGATGGGGAATCAATGGCATAAAGGGACATGCTCCCTGCCCCTTACATTATCCAACCTACAGCAGAGTATGGAGTGGGGGTCCACAAAGGGGAATCTTTTAGGTTGGGGTGGCAATCAATAGTTTTCCAAATGCTTTTGGACTGCAGCTCCCAGCATTCTTCACTATGAACTGTGTGAGCTAGGCATTTTTGGCCTAACAGTACAGGAATTTCTGGAGGGCCACTTGATTTCCTCCTGTTTGTAGAATAGCTTAGGTGGTCTAACACAGTTTCCAGAAAGTAAAGTAAACCAGTGCTTATTTTCAGCTCTCCATATTTGCACAAGCCACACAGACGATAAATAATAGTAATAAATAAAGAATAGGAACCCCTGAAGGAACCATTCTCCTCATGAGACTGTGACGACTATGGTTTCTTCATGTGAACATGCATGCCCATGTTGCAAGCAACAGCATTTCAACTCTCAGGGCGATTGTTTTGCTAAAGGTACGGAAAAACATGAGCCTCTCTCTTTTCTGCTGAAAAACACAGAAATGGCTAATCTGAGAATTAGGTTCATTTTCTCCCCATGATTAGAAGCAGGAGCATGAAGTGGGAAGTGTACATTAACTGAAAATCCTTGGGAAGTGTACATTATCTGAAAACTCAATTGCTTCATTGGTCTGTCAGATGATCTTCGATCGATGGGTCTCCTAGTGAGATATCCACTACTTCAATCTTCCTTCGTAGCAAGAATGGAGAAGGCCTTTAGCAGGAAGTGTTCACATGGCTACCATTCCAATATTGGCCGTTGCCTATATGCAGAAGCGAGAGAGAAAGCAACAGAAGTAAAGGGAAACTCTACTACTTGATGACAACACACTTCAAAGCTTCATGTGACAGTATTCCTCAATATATAGTTAGACTGAACTGTTTTATTCACTTTGAACACTGCTTGATCTAATATCGGCTGTGGTAACCCCATGTGGTGAGGCACTTCCATTTCTGTAATCAGCAAGGCGACTTTATTCTCTTGACACAGCCAAGTTCTAATTCATCTTAAATTGCACACCTACTGATTTAACATGATCTCCAAGAATGGCATCCTAGCCCGTTCCATCTTGCATGCAGCCAGGCAGTTTGTCTTAACTCAGCATCCTCCTGCGGCTGAAAGAAAGGTGGGGGGAAGAGAAGGAAAGTTAACCCCCCCTTTTTTTGACATGAATAAAAGGTGACGTGCCAAGTCGCCGGCTACATTTTATTAATATCCTCCTTGTTTGTTTTTTAGTAGTGTTGTTTTAGTACTGTGTATTTTTCATATCTTCTGTAGGAAAGCAGTATGTTTATTCCATCTTGTTAAAAAAATGGACCCATTTTTTTTCTCACTTTCTTTATAGTTTGTTACCATGAAACAGAGTATATGATGTCCTCCCCCCCCACCCCGCCCTTAGCATAGGTCAGAGGGAGGAATTATCTCATGGGCTATACGGTTATCTCTATCTACATGGCTACAATTTGGAAATTATTAGTATCAACTAAGTGAGAGGACCATTGACGGAGGCAATGGAAAATTGCAGTTTTGATTGTGTCAGCTGCCACAGTCTGAGCACTTCATCAGGAAGCAGCTAAGCCCTCAGCCACATTTTGAGAAATGGTTTGCCAGTAACCAGACACAATCTTTCCCTTCCCTCAGGGTGTAATTGGCGGAGGAGTTTGATATCCACAGTGTGGATTTTCAAAGGTCTGTCCAGCTGGATTAGACAATGAGGGCCTGTGGTTTGTTTGTCATCTCCTTCCAGGAGCTGAAAACTCTTGAGAATCTACATTAATCCCTTCTATATCTCCTCTTTTCCAACCCCAAATATCAGGGATTATGTTTTGTGAGTTACTTTCTCCGCATCGAAACTTATCGCTCTTTGAAAAATTGGTTCATTAACTCTTTACTGAAAGACACTGAAGTGAGGAGGAAGGGAACTTTCTTTAAATAAAACATACACCAACTCTATCCCTGAACTGGGTTCAAACTCTGGGTTTGTGTGTTCTCAAAACCACTTCTCAGGAGTCCTTAGTCAGCTACAAATAAAATTATGGTTTCCACTCTAGAAAGCATATAGAAAATACCAGAAAGGAAATCGATGTGTGTAGGAATGATACTGGTGAAAATGGATAGAAATGGTCGGTCCAGAGTGCCCACATACTTCACTCATACATCATTACACTTATGTTTGATAGGTTCAAACTGGAATGGGTGATTTAAAGCAGAGCCGCAGCAAGCCAGATTGTTCACACTAGAATCAGGGTTTAGGACATGCATCGTCTGAACAGGGCGATGCCAGAATGGGGGAAAATAGACCTTTTGGCTGGTTCTGACAGGGACTGAGGGGGGAAGCAGACGAGGGCGTCCGGGACGCCGTGGGACGGTGCGCCGCGGGACCGCGGCATCCACACCGCGGCACAGTAAAAGCGTAGGGCGCACTTTCACTGACTTATCCGCCGCAGCATGTGCGGACGCTGCGGCGGGAGGTTGCCCTCGGAGCGGCGGCCATGCAGAGGGCCAGCGGCTCTGAGGGCAACCTCGGGAGGAGGAAGGGGCGCCAATCGTGCGGCTGCCCCTCCTCTTCCTTGCCTCGAGGACGGCCCAATTAGCCGTCTGCCGAGGCCTTCAGAAAGAACAGATTGGGACAGGGGATACATTCAAATAATTTTCTATAGCCTCTGAATCATTCAAGCTTGTCAATAAATGACCGAGACCAACACGAGACATGCCAAGCAATGGTCAAAGAAATTCTCCCGCACAACCACTGCTAAAATGAATAGCCATTGCATGCAAAAGCACAGACATCATAGCCCCCATCTTCACTGCAGTGGATCACAACCACACTCAAAATATAACATTTTGCTCAGAAGAAAACTAAAATTTGGAAAGACTGTTTTCTTACTGTCATCATATCTGTGTGGCTGACGTATGCATTGTCCATTCTTCCTTTAGAGAGTGCATTCCTCTTTAGGTTTATATAATGAAGACCTTAACACCACACAGACATTTCTTAGAGCACTCCTGGCTGATCACTCCAACACACTTGTCCTGATCTGTTCTTTCTAAGTCCTTGTCTGCACTAGGCAAAAGATCTCTTTCTCCCCATTCTGGCATCACCTTTTTCAGATGATCCATGTCCAAATGCTGGTTCTAGTGTGAACAATCCAGCTGATGTCTGACATGTCCTGCACCAGAACTAGGGGTTAACAGCCTTAACATGAATTATAAAAAATTATTTGTTTCTCTGGATCGTCCTAGAAGATCTGGAGCCTTCCATTCCTGCTCCACTGAGCTGCTCAGTGTGTCCTCCGCCACCATGGCTTGCTCATTCTGAAGTCAGAATGAGACACCCAGCCATGTAGCTGTTTCTGGGCACCTCATTCTGACCTCAGAAGCAAGCAACTCTTGGTAGTACCAGACACACTGGATGGCTTGGTGCAGGAACAGCTGCCATGGTGCTGCCCCTGGAGTATCCTGGCCAGTGCAAACAAGGCCTGACACCTTTCCTGCAGTGTCTCTCCTGACAGAGACTAGAAGCCAGCCCATTTTCATGACTGTTGCATTTCTGTTTTTAATTACCCCATGCTATTATTTTATTTTATTTTATTTCAAGAGCAGCTAAGGGCAGCCAAAATGAGGAGGCAAGCAGGTAAACACTCTCATAAAGACAAACCCCATCAGAAGCAGCACCACACATAAAATAGGGACATGGAATGTGAGAAGCATGAGCCAAGGGAAACTAGACCTAGTGAAAATGGAAATGCAACGCATGAACATAGCAGTACTGGGGGTGAGTGAGTTAAAACTGACAGGATTAAGCCACTTTGAATCAGACAACTACACAATGTTCTACTTAGGGGATGAAAAGACAAGAAGAAATGGGGTGGCTTTCATACTAAGAAAAGATGTTGTAAAAGCAGTTAGAGGCTACAATGCAAAATCAGACCAAATAAGCTCAATAAGGCTCCATGAGAAACTTATGAATATCACCATAATTCAAGTATAT